ATTTAAGCTGTTTATACGAACAACTAAAAGGAAAGAAGAGTCCACATGTTCCCTTAATGGTCCCCTATTATACTGTTTTTCATCAATATATTATAGGTCTCAGATATATGGGCCATTCTACCGAATTTGTGCAAAGTGCAGTCCCACAACAAGAAAAACTATTTAACAAAACAATGAAGTATTCAGACATAGATATTTACTAAGAATATGTTATGTTCTATTAAACACAAGGCATTAAATTAGATAGTGATAAGCTTAATATATACAAAAACATCATTTATAGGGTACTTTCTATTGGGAAGTAGCTGTCCCCAACATCTAAATTTCATGTTCTGTAAATAACACTTAAAACATTTTTTTTTATTTTGTTCGATGGTGTATTTAGAAGATCTTTATGATTACATTCAAACAGAAGTCGGAATATTTAGATTTATTGTGGGTTACATTTTTTAATAAAAAAACTATACTCAAAAAAATCATGTCCCCAGTTTTCATGTCACTACCGAAACACAAGGGGTTTTAGTCCAATGGCTGAGCCTGGTTTTTAGCCACACCCCTGCATTTTTGACAAGGCAGTGACACTGCATCCCTGTCCCTCATGGCTGAATGGTAAGTAGCTCGATCCCATTACCTTGGTTGGTGATTGGCTAATGGTTACACAAGCCAAAACATCGTTATGACATCACAAAGTGGCCAAAATCTGATCAGCTCATTTTCAGACAGGTTTTTATATTACATTACATTACATGTCATTTGTTAGACGCTTTTATCCAAAGCGACTTACATACAATTAGTACTGTGGAGACAATCCCCACAGGAGCAATTTGGGGTGAAGTGTCTTGCCCAGGGACACAACGACATGCTGACTGCAGTGGGATTTGAACTTGCTACCCCCTGGTTCGAAGCCCAGCACACTACCCACTGAGCCACATAAATGGATCTGGACAAAAAAAGAGAAAATATTTTTTCCTGAAACGTTCAGAATCTCTTTACACAGAGGAGACACATGTTGATGTATAAAAGACAGGAAAAAGTGGATTTAGCATAATAGGTGACCTTTAAACCCAGACCTCATGCTATTTTCAGCCCATCTTAGCAGCATCTCAGAGACAGATCAAACATGTTTCCACTATATAGCAGCCAACTTCATTCCATTAACCTAACATGGCTGCAGAGTAAAACTCGAGGTTAAATGAAGAGGCTGTGCAGGCTGTAACATCCATCCTTGACACCCAACTAGCAGAGGGTGTCACTGCTGACAGCTCCCATACTCCATGACAGAATGATGAGCCAGTGGTGCAGGGGTGAAAATCTGAGCAGATCGTGTGCTGTGTTGCTATATGACCTCTGGGATGAAAATACTTTATCACAAATAATTTATTTCTGTGTCAGCTACATGCCTTAAATGTAAGTACATGAAATTAATTATGTGGTCAGGTTTTATTTGAATCAGTCCCCTGTAGGTTCTTTAATGGTTATAAATCATATTTAATCAAAAGTCAGGATATGTAATGTTTGTGGAAAGAGCCCCTGCTATGGTAAAGATGGTTTCAAGTGGCAAAAGGTGTTCTACTTTATCCTCTTCCAGAATGATTAATTAGGCAGCCATGCGCTATTCATTACAAAATGCAGAAATTGCTGGTCATTAAAATCCTATCAGTGCACAGAGGCAGGGAACAGGACCAACGTGAGCGCACAAATTCTCCATCTACAATATCTAACATTTAAACATCCAAAATATTAACATTTACCCAGTAGATTATATCAGAACTAAACATAGACCTTCACCTTCACATTAATTATTCTCAAAGATCTGACCTTTATGGAAACGGTTTCAAAGCGCAATTTCAAAATATACATATCTATAGCAATCTTAAGGTCATAAATGTATATATTTTAGTAAACCTGCATTGGGGAATTTGTGATCTATAGGAGTACAGGATTTAAGTTAAAAGAAGTCAGAAGTTGGATAATGATGTCCTTGCCTGAATGTGACTCTTGAATATTAAACAGGGCTTGTCTTTTTTTTATGGTGTGTGAGGGAACCTTGCTAACCCAAATAAACAAAGTTAGCATGTCCTGATTAAGTAACAAGCATAATTGGCAGCATATGCTAACAAATAAAGTGGGAGGGAATGTTGCTCTTGCACATTAAGCTCTTACGCTTCATGTGATTTATGTTACTGTATCATCAATTATGCTTCAAACAATGAACAATAAAATAGAGGACGCGTCGCTGACAATCAGGGGCGGCGGGTACTGTAGGCTATAGGGAAGGCTAAGCCTTCACAAATATTTTTGTCACTGCATCCTGGTAAAATAAAAATATAATGTATATGTTTGTGTCTTTGACATTAGCGCTTCTATGCAGCCACCTTGTGCCCTGTACTACGAAGCCAGTTCAACAGACCCTGGATATGTTTGAGTTATTTTAACTAACCCTAACAAACGAGATCTCGCTAAGCGGTCCTACGACGCTGGTTATCAACTCGGTAAATCAAGCCAGGGTTTCTCTCACCAGGGGCCTGTACTACGAAGCTGGTTCAACCTAACCTGGGTTGCGTTCCGATAATCCAAAAATCAGCACCTAAATTCTAACGCTATCTCCTATTCCTTGACCTCTGAGTGAAACGTCACAGGGTTAAGGGATAGTGGATAGGAGAATTCAAAAGGACTTAGGAGAAGAGACTGCGGGGTTGCATTCCAATAGTCCATTTAGCTTAGGAACCTTCCTAACGGAGTGAAATGACCCGGAAATACGTCACTGGCAGCCATGATAAGTGCCGTTCCAATTCTCCAAATGAAAGGAAAAGAGGTTTCAAACTTCCTTTATAACCTCCTTTAGCTTAGGAACCACTGGACCTCCCTAACCGAAAGGAGAGGAGAAAATGCTGCCCCACAATGCATTGCAGCCGCAGCATTTGCCGTCACTCAACAGTCGGCCGTTCACGGAAACAACCGATTATGACGGAGAAATTATATCATGAAAGTTACGGTGCTTATTAAGCATTTTAAAACGTAGGTGGTAAGTTGCCAAAGTGCTTTGTTCTGAACGTTCATCAGTATTATAATCAAAAAGAGAAATATGAACGTTAGTTTTTACTGAAATGATCAAATAAAGTCAACATTTCACTGAGCTGTGTGGGGTTTGTTCAACTTTTAAAAGATGTTTGAATGGTGATATACACAGTGATAGATGTTAAGGACTAACGTTTATAATAAATACATTTGTATTGATTTTAAGATCTTTTAATAGTTCATACAATCATACGTACTGGGATCATTTGTATTAATGTGGACCGGAGGGAGAGGGTGACGAGCATAAGTTTCACTTTCCTTTTTTATTTCAATTCCAGCTTTGGTCATGAAGAATATGTTTCTCTGTTGTCCCCGTTCATAAAGCATAAAACAACAGCATCAGAGCACGGTGCAGAGTCTCTAGATGAGTTTACAGTAGTCCCTCGTTCTTATTGAACATCCATGTTGTAGTCCGCTGTATAGAACACTGTAGTTTCCATAGTTTCCCCACAGCAGCAGACGCACATTCATGACGTCCGCTGGCGCTTCATAAACACGTCGGATAGTGAAAGTGCATTCGGATTCTCTAAAGTACCGCGGTCTCTTCTCCTAAGTCCTTTTGAATTCTCCTATCCACTATCCCTTAACGTTTCACTCAGAGGTCAAGGAATAGGAGATAGGGTTATAATTTAGGAGCTGATTTTTGGATTATCGGAACGCAACCCCGGTACTTTAAAGTTTAGAGAATCCGAATGCACTTTCACTATCCGACGTGTTTATGATGCGCCAGCGGACGTCATGAATGTGCGTCTGCTGCTGTGGGGAAACTATGGAAACTACAGTTTTCTATACAGCGGACTACAACATGGATGTTCAATAAGAACGAGGGACTACTGTAAACTCACCTAGAGACTCTGCACCATGCTCTGATGCTGTTGCTTTATGCTTTATGAACGTGGACAACAGAGAAACATATTCTTCATGACCAAAGTTGGAATTGAAATAAAAAAGGAAAGTGAAACTTATGCTCGTCACCCTCTCCCTCCGGTCCACATTAATATAAATGATCCCAATACGTATGATTGATGAAAAGATCTTAAAATCAATACAGATGTATTTATTATAAACGTTAGTCCTTAACATCTATCACTGTGTATATCACCATTCAAACATCTTTTAAAAGTTGAACAAACCCCACAGCTCAGTAAAGACTGTGAAATGTTGACTTTATTTATTAATTTCAGTAAAAACTAACGTTCATATTTCTCTCTTTGATTATAATACTGATGAACGTTCAGAAAAAAGTACTTTGGCAACTTACCACGTATACGTTTTAAAAAGCTTAATAATAAGCACCGTAACTTTCATGATATAATTTCTCGGTCATAATCGGTTGTTTCCGTGAACGGCCGACTGTTGAGTGACGGCAAATGCTGCGGCTGCAATGCATTGTGGGGCAGCATTTTCTCCTCTCCTTTCGGTAAGGGAGGTCCAGTGGTTCCTAAGCTAAAGGTACAGTGGCCGGCAGGTGCAAACGCTAAACAACGGCCAAAAACACACACATAAGCAGGAAACACCTGCAAATAATGAAATGAAAAACCAACAAACCCTGAAAACACATACAACAGAAAAATGCTGCATTTACAGAAATGATGCAAGCTAAACCTACAACACACAAACCCTGAAAACAAACGCAACAGAAAAACGCTGCAAATACAAAAACGATATGCAAAGTCAAAAGCACATACAATCGAATAACACGTTACAAAAAAAAAGACATTACAAAAAAAAAACATTCCGGAAGTGCTTCAGGCCTCTAGGGGGCGCGCTACGTGGAACAGATTGATGTATGACCAGACATAGAGAGAACGAACAAGAGGAAAGAAAGTTCATTTAAGTGGAGAAAGATATACGAAGGTAAGTTTTGTTTTGTTTTTATACATAGAGCGTCATATTTACGTAGCTAGCGTTAGCGTGTTTGATCAAAGAGCTTGCAAGAGCCATTGTGCACCTAAATGTAACTCTTGACATAATATAGATATAGTATAGAACCGGGACGCCCCTCCCTACACGCAGATCACAGACTGGGTGGGGTCTCACGCCCTCACCTCGTGGATGGGACCTCAACTGAGCCGCAAATGCGATGCGGTGATAAAAAGGAAATCAAATGTAAAAAGTTGAATTAAAATATTAAAACAGCAACACAACATTATTCCCACATTAAAAGACAGTCTGAAGAGGTGTGTTTTGAAGGTGGGGGGGTCGGTGCAGTCTCTGATGTTTAATGGGAGTGAGTTCCAGAGGGAGGGGGCAGCGATGGAGAAAGCGCTGTCCCCCCAGGTTCGGTGCTTGGTTTGTGGGGGGATAGACAGGAGGTTGGCTTCTGATGAGTTAATTGAAAGACCGTTCTTTAATACTATTATAATATTTAGGTAGCTGAAAAATATCCACTCTTTTTGACTTAACCTAGCTGTCCTACATTTTATTTCTCCACAGATGTACTGTCCATTCTGTGGTTCCAGCGTGACATCTTCGCATGGCTTTTGTGGTGTCTGTGGCAGAGACATCACATTTCTAAAAGATGTGGCTAACAAAGTCCCTGAGGAGATGCCCACCACTAGTGCGCATCTAAGTGCACAGCCTAGCACCAGTGCAGGTAAATAGGTTGTTCGTTTTATTACCAAACAATAAGTATTTATAGAAAACTTGGTTTAAAAGTTCGAATTCTGTTATTATACAAATACATCTCTAAACTATGTGACTTACCTACTGTTGAATGTGTTATAAGATGTTCCTCAGAAGGGATTGAGGATGAGACTCCTATTGAACATAATGAAGAGTAATGAATGTTTTATTCCTGTTTTTTTGTAGCAGGAAGCTCAGCTGTAGAGTCCTTTCAGAAATATAGGGAAATAAAAAAGAGGGAGAGACCTTTTTTACAAAGGGACGGCATAACTCCAAAAATAAACAGAAATTGGTGAAGGTATGCAACGTTTTCTGTTATGAATACATCTGTCATTCAAATCTGCTCACCACACTCTCGTATAATGTCCGAAAAAATGTTTTATTCATTTGCATATTATTGTCTTTTTGCAGATTTCTGTTGGAGTAATGAGGAGGATGGATGGCTGCCTTAAACCTTTGAGAGGGAGGTCACTTCCCCTTAATGTCGAACCTCAATGGGCATGTGAAGAACTGTTGGCTGCTGCCATAAAAAAGCAGAAAGCCTTTAACCAGGACTTGGAAGATGGTGCCCATGTCTTGTTGTACCCTGATGCGAGGGTGATAACAAATATCCCCGGAACGGACACCCCTTTCACAGTACAGATGTACAAAGAGGCCATTGGAAAGCCCTACCAACGAATTACGTTGTACATCTGTACTCTTGAAGCCGTTGAAAACAGTTGTAAGTGCTTCTGACATATATTCCCCCTTGTTTAAAGCACTAAACTGTATAATAGTTCAAATGTAAACATAACAGTTGTTCTGTCTATATTTCTTAACACAATTCATTCCACCCATCATTCCTTTCTCTTCGTGGTTGAACTTATGACGTCAAATGGTCTTTTATGAATAGTGGCAGAAGAAATGGAATTTAAGTATCAACAAAAGCTTCCAAACTTTCCTTCTGTTCAAACTGTTATAAATTCCCTCTTAAGGATTGTAATTCTAAATTAACCTTTTTTCTCACAACAATGTTGGTTTGTTGTGCCCTAAATCCTAATGTGAGAGTGAAAAAGACGGTCAACAATATAATGTACATTTCACAAACATTTTGTGTTTCGATTGAATCCTTTCTGATTGATGTCAATCCAATAATTCAGGATTCAAACCAACATTTGATGATAGGTACAGACGGAGGGGAACAATTATTTGTATAGTATTAATCATGACACTTTTATTTTCTTAGGTTACACTGGAACAACCTCTTCAAGTGACGAGGACAGTGTGGTTTTTGCAAAGTTGCCATCTGGAGACAGTCTTGCTGACACCGTGGTCAGTTTGGATCTATCGTGGCATTTATTCTTAATTAAAGTGAATTTATTTTATTTCAGTCAGTCATTTGTGTGTTGTATGCAGGTGTGGGACTTTCCAAATGAACAGAGCACTCCCAGAATGGACAACAGTTTGCCAGGGTCAAATAAAACATTGTCAACATGTTATTTTGTGCCACAAGAAGCAGAATGTTTTAACAGTACAGTAGTTTGAATATATTTTTTGTTTACCTTTATCAGACCTCTCAGGCACCCACAACCAGCGTCTGATCGGGTAAGACTAATTACAAATGTAATTATACCATGTAGGTTTGAATTTGTGAACATGAAATCAATAAATACCTTTGTGTGCTAATGACACTGTCATTAGATCAACTGCATCATTATTTATTGGGTAAAAGTAGGATGGAGAACCAACCCCATTCCAGGAAGAGGTCCAGTCTGCCCCGGGTCAGAACACCTTCTATAGGTAAACGATGTTGACAGTTGCATCGTGACACAGTTGTTTGGTGTGTATTTTTATTTGTACATTTGGTTGTTTGCATAGCCTCCAATCACAGTGGGTAATATTGCCAGGAAGCAGAACAATTATACTTTCATACATTTCCAAAGGACACCCACAACATCTTAGTGAAGACGATACAAAAAACACCCACAAATATTTGTCAAATGTCAGATATTGTTTGTTGCATCCATTTCAAATGTTTACAAGGATTGTGCAGGAGTATGACAAAGTGCTGTTGTCAGTTTAGAACCCAATGTATTAAAAAAACCAGGAAGAGGATCGACATCCTTTTGCAAATATGACTGTCATGCATATATTATGTATTTGAAAGTCATTATTCAACTGTCTTCTCACTGCAGCAACTACACAACTGTGTATGCACTTATCATTATTGACAGCCAGTCTGAGCCAGAAGAGGAAACGGAGCAAACTGCAGAGGAAATGTATTAAATGTTACTTTTATCACTTGATTTTTTTATTCTATACTGTAAATCTTATTATAGCTTCATCATTTAATATTACAATACATCACTTTGTCTTTCCCAGCACAGAATACCTGACTGCGCCAGACATTGTTGCAGAACTCTCTGCAAAAATTTAAAATACCTCTTGCAGCAGGTTCAATATTAATAGAGCCAATGTGTGGGATGGAGCAATCCGCGGCTTCAAAGGGGCCTCATTCGACCCCTCTCATCAGATGCAGGTTAAGTTTACTGATGATGAGGGACAAACTGAGGATGGAGTGGACACTGGTGGTCCCAAGCGGGAGTTCCTGACCCTCCTTATGGAATGCCTGAGAATGAGAAGAATATTTGATGGTCCACAGGACAGGAAATTCCTCAAGTTCGACAATGCAGGTAATGATGTTCGCAAATCTGTCTTATGTTCAATACTGTACTGTAAATATAGGAGCTGCTTATGGATTTTGCAGCTTGATTTACGTGACAATTACATTATCTTATACTGTATATCTTTATGATAACGTGGCAACTGTTGGTTAACGTGATAATAATTTAACAAAAAATATCAACAGCTGCAAAAGATGACGAATACTTTCATGCTGGGAGGATGATTGCAACTTCTATAGTTCAAAAACACAAGGAGAAAAAGAAGAAAACATGTCATGGCTCACTGTCTCAAAATCTGATTCTAAATGTATAATGTTCTTTATAAAGATATAACTAATACACAATTATGAATGTATAATATAAGCTGTTTTGTGTATTTAATCATGCGTTGGTCTACAATTTAATGATGGCTTCTACATATTTCACATAAACAGACAATGAAAAAATGTGTCCTTCATGCTGATAACTAGTGTATGCATCTGCCAATTAGCATTCTAAACAGAGCAGTGTGTTGAATCCTTATTTCTTGCATTTGAAACAGATACAATACAAAAAGTGAACTTACTGTTGTGTTCAACTTCTGCCAAAAACTGTACATGTTTGCCACAGGAGCCACAGAGCACTTGAACTGTCCCCAGATGTTGGCCACAGAAAGGACAAAACATGGCAGCCTGAAAAGACATACATTGATGTAGTAAATCCATGTAATCAAGTCAATCAAAAACACATAGTCTAAATAGTGGTTAGCTAAATAAATAGATACATCATGTTCACCGTTGAATCTGTGATTTGTCTCTCTCTCTCTCCTTGAATGTCTAATGCACACTACTATCCTGTCATTACTTTGTCCCTCTTCACATTTTGTCACTTTCTCTCTCTCTTTCTCTCTCAATTCAATAGCTTTATTAGCATGACCATAGTTACAGGCAATTGCTAAAGCTCTGTATAGTTGCAACATCTATACACAAATACATAAATATAAACAAACTGCTAAGAATTCAAATGTCCTTTTTCCGCGGTACTCACTATGGCCCGTGTTATTTGCCTGCACTTGATTTGTCATCTCTTTACAATGTTCTTCCCTCACTTTCTCTTCTCTTCACGTGAAGCTCTCCTCAGCTGGTGTAGTAGTTAGGCACGCTAACGCTAGCTATATAAATATGACGCTCTATGTATAAAAAAACAAAACTTACCTTCTTATATCTTTCTCCACTTAAATGAACTTTCTTTCCTCTTGTTCGTTCTCTCTATGTCTGGTCAGACATCAATCTGTTCCACGTAGCGCGCCCCCTAGAGGCCTGAAACACTTCCGGAATGTTTTTTTTTTGTAATGTCTTTTTTTTTTGTAATGTGTTTTTCGGTTGTATGTGCTTTTGACTTTGCATATCGTTTTTGTATTTGCAGCGTTTTTCTGTTGCGTTTGTTTTCGGGGTTTGTGTGTTGTAGGTTTAGCTTGCATCATTTCTGTAAATGCAGCGTTTTTCTGTTGTATGTGTTTTCAGGGTTTGTTGGTTTTTCATTTAATTATTTGCAGGTGTTTCCTGCTTATGTGTGTGTTTTTGGCCGTTGTTTAGCGTTTGCACCTGCCGGCCACCGTAGAAAGGTCATGTATTATTGCTACACAAATATTATCTCGCAGTCTTAGTGTCGCCAACTCGTTTCTAACATGCAAAAAGACAAACAAATGTCGGTGTATTTTCGATCTTTCCAATCGAGACGAGATCTCTCTCCCCCGTCTGTGCGCGAGGGGGCGGGGCAGTTTACACACACGCGGCTGCTACAAGCAGCAACACACGGAGGAGATGGCGGAGAGAAGCGCTCCAAGGTGTGGTTAAATGTTACCCGTCTTGAGGTGGACAATACTCCTTGCCAAGAGAGTTCAGCATGTGAGGGCGGTAACACGAGCAGTGTGTCTAAACATTTATCAAAAGTGCACCACATCCAGACGGAGGAATGCACCGGGTTCGACTGTCTTTCTAGCAGCTCTGCAGCCCCATCCACGAGTAACGTTTCCACGTCAGGTGTTATGTATGCTAGCAGCGACACACGGAGTTAACTCCATGATACAAACATGGGTTAATGATTAGAGGAAACTGAGTTACTCTTTATTTTGTTAAAGTTTCAGCTATTCTGTTCACAGTTCTGTCATCAGATTATTTAATACGATTTGTTAAAACATTGTTGTTTCTTTTGATGTGAAATATTATTGATTTAATTTAAATAAAAAGCAATGTTAGTTTTGTTCACAATTTGTTAATTTAATAATATATGTATTTTTGAATCAAGTATTCATCTTTATTGTCTTCATTGTTAGTTTCCACATGCCTAAAACAACCTCAAGCTAAATCTAAAAGTTGATGGCTAAACAAGAGGGTTTGAGAAATTGTGCAAGGCATACAGTAATAGTCTGAATAGTCGATTAGTCGTTTCATTAATCGATTATCAAATTAGTCGTTTGTTGCAGCCCTATTATCCCATGTATAAATAAAACGTGTTATTCAGCAACCCTTGCAATTTGGGATTTTATTTTTGGTTGGTAGACCTCGGTGAGCTGGTCATTTCAAAAGTAGCTCACCAGCCCAAAAAGTGTGGGCACCCCTGGTCTAATCCAAAACATACGCGCTCTCGCTAAACGGTACTACGACGCGGGTTATCAAGTGGATCGCTCAAGCCAGCCGTGTCCTATTTAGGTGCGCGTTCACATGAAAGGGGTGGTATTTGGAGCATTCGACCAATCACAAACATGGAGAAGCATACTGACAGCGCAGCGTCATACTTCCTGAATGAAAAGTCAACTATAATATTAGACATATGAAGAAGTTAAACTTTAAACATCCATGACTTAAACACTTTATCCAGGATAAAAGCCACATAGCCACACATTCACACATTCACAGCCACACAGCTGGTAACAGAACAAGTGTTTGAATGCGTACATTAACAGGTTTTATGATATCACTGCCCCGTCTAAGACACGATCTGACTTTAATTACATTTGACTTGAGTGTTTCGTCAACTTAATGTGTTGCTTAAAATAATACTTCTGCATACAGTATGTGACACTGAGTGTTGCACGGCCAGATACGGCTCAGCTGACTCAGATAAGGAGATATATGATACATTATGATGTGATATGCCGCGGACTGTAGGCCTACTTAATGTTACTCTGATCCGGTTACTTATGTTGTGGCAGATATTTAAGTAAGCTTTCTTAACGCTAATGTTATAATAGTCAGATTGCTCTGAAGATGGGAGGTGATATTCTATTAATGTTCACGTTCAAACAGTCGGTGATTTTTGCCGGCCGTCTTTCCTGCAACGGAGGTTTAAACTGTATTTCCTTTCTCCTGTAATATGACTTGATCGCTTTAAACTCCGCACACTGAGCTCTGATTGGTCAGCAGGCAGTGCTTTCACTGAGTTGAGCTCTTAGCCTGCAACCTAACCAGGGGGGTATACTACGAATCTAGTTCAACCTATCCTGGATATGTTTTGAGTTATCCGGTTGACTTAATCCAAAACAAAGCCGCTCTCGCTAAATTGTCCTACAACGCTGGCTATCAACGTTCGCTCAAGCCAGCCGTGTCCTATCTAGTTAGGTGCGCGTTCACATAAAAGGGGTGGTATCTGGAGCATTCGACCAATCACAAACATGGAGAAGCGTACTGACAGCGCAGCGTCATACTTCCTGAATGAAAAGTCAACTATAATATTAGACATATGAAGAAGTTAAACTTTAAACATCCATGACTTAAACACTTTATCCAGGATAAAAGCCACATAGCTGCACCTGCAAGGTGAATACAGCTGGTAAAAGAAAAAGTGTTTGAATGCGTACATTAACAGGTTTATGATATCACTGCCCCGTCTAAGACACGAGTGGATCTGACTTTAATTACATTTGACTCGAGTGTTTCGTCAACTTAAAGGTGGGGTAGGTACGTTTCAGAAACCGGCTCGAGTGCACTAACATTTGAAAGTACACAGCCGAAAAGAATCCGCCCGTTCCTTCAGACTTCCTTATAGAGCACCTCCTCCAACACACATGAACGCGCACATGACGTTAGCAGACTGGTGAAAGTGGCCGCCTGTTGCTGGCGAGTCATTGAAGTAGGCTACTGCTGCAATGCACGCCCAATGACGGCACGCCCAATGAGGGCACGAGATACATTTGTGCGTGCACGAGATGGAAGGCTGACAGACAGGGCGGCAATCCAATCCGTTTAGCCCGGCCTGTACTTTTTACAGTATTACGGCTTCCACAGATGACATTTTTTTTATGGATTTTTTGTCAAAGCACTTAAGATATTCATTGCTATCGGGATGTTAAGAGCATTCCATGGAATATATCAAAAAGTGTATTTCGAGCCGGTTTCTCAAACTTACCTACCCCACCTTTAATGTGTTGGATTTGACTTTAATTACATTTGTCTCGAGTGTTTCGTCAACTTAATGTGTTGCTTAAAATAATACTTATGCATACAGTATGTGACACTGTGAGTGTTGCACAGCCAGATAAGGAAATATATGATAGGCCTACATTATGATGTGATATGATGTGATATGAATGATAATGGGACACATCGACGTCTGCACTCAGTGCTGCTGACTGTAGGCTACGTAATGTTACTTTGATCCGGTTACTTATGTTGTGGCAGATATTTAATTAAGCTTTCTTAACATAGCCTAATAGTATAATAGTTATAATAGTCAGATTGCTCTGAAGATGGGAGGTGATGTTCTATTCATTTTCACGTTCACACAGTCGGTGATTTTGGCCGGCCGTCTTTCCTGCAACGGCAGTTTAAACTGTATTTCCTCCGCACACTGAGCTCTGATTGGTCAGCAGGCGTGGTGCTTTCGCTGAGTTGATCTCTTATCCTGGAACCTATCCTGCTTCGGAGCACAGACTAGGTTCCAGGATAAGTCACCATGGAGATCTAGCCCGCTAAAAAGTGAACCAGCTTCGTCGTACCGGAAATCCCAGAAGTTATCTTGCTAAACGAAAATCCTGCTTCGTAGTATACCCCCCTGGTCCCGACCAGGTTAGCCGCACAGCATAAGTTACCATGGAGATCTAGCCTGCTAAAAAGAGAACCAGCGTCGTAGGACCGGAAACCCCAAGTTTTTCCTAAAGTTAGCCGGCTAAGCGAAAATCCTGCTTCGTAGTATACCCCCCCGGTCCCGACCAGGTTAACCGCACGTTATCATGGAGATCTAGTCTGCTAAAAAGAGAACCAGCTTCGTAGGACCGGAAACCCCGAGTTTTCCCTGAAGTTAGCCAGCTAAGCGAAAATCCTGCTTCGTAGTATACCCCCCAGAGGCGGGCAACATCAGGTAAAAAAAAGTTATTTAGCCTTCCCAAACCTGAGCCTCACGCGCCGCCGCCTATGCTAACAATATATAATGATACAAGAGTAACTCACTGCAAAATTGATTTCCTAAATGTAATGAGTGTGTTCTTGGGCAGTCCAATCTTAAACTTGAACACAAACAGGAAATTGCTTTCAAAGCAAAGGAGCCAGCACTGTCTAATTAATATAAGTGAGTAAAAAACACTGCAGCTGGTATTAATAATAAATCATTGAAGAGACAGCAACACAACACAAGTCAATTTGTATTTAA